AGATATAAGAAAGGTCGCTATTGTTTTTCGGCTACATAGACTAACGGGCCAAAAAGTTACAGCCCAAAAACTGCCCAAACCTCCAAAAAAGGGATTCTTTTATAATTATTGTTACAAAGAACATATGAATGTCCGGTTTTCTGTTAGTAAATATTCCTTAAACCTCAAGTAACTATGCAGATTAAAAAAATTGCGGATCCCGCAACCCAACTTTTGTATTTGCGCAATCCCAATTTTTTTATCTGTTAAGATATTTAAATGAAATTTTTTTTGTTAAGATATTTGAATGAAATTTTGTATGTAGGCACCTCAAATAAAAATAAAACTGATGCCGAATCAAAAAATTTGTTTTGCGCATGCGCTATTTCAAATTTTTTATTTGTTTAGATATTTAAATGAAATTTTGTATATACGGACCTCGAATAAAAGTAAAACTAATGCCGATTCAAAAATTTGTTTTGCGCATGCGCTATTTCAAATTTTTTATTTGTTTAGATATTTAAATGAAATTTTGTATATACGGACCTCGAATAAAAGTAAAACTAATGCCGATTCAAAAATTTGTTTTGCGCATGCGCTATTTCAAATTTTTTATTTGTTTAGATATTTAAATGAAATTTTGTATATACGGACCTCGAATAAAAGTAAAACTAATGCCGATTCAAAAATTTGTTTTGCGCATGCGCTATTTCAAATTTTTTATTTGTTTAGATATTTAAATGAAATTTTGTATATACGGACCTCGAATAAAAGTAAAACTAATGCCGATTCAAAAATTTGTTTTGCGCATGCGCTATTTCAAATTTTTTATTTGTTTAGATATTTAAATGAAATTTTGTATATACGGACCTCGAATAAAAGTAAAACTAATGCCGATTCAAAAATTTGTTTTACAAAGCTATGTTGATCTGGTGGGACAGAATCAACTCCTTAAGGTGTGTTGTAAAAATGATGTCTGTGCGAAGTTCGGTATTCAGTTGTATTGGATTTTTCTTTTTAACATGGATGTAGGGCCATTGACTTTGTGTGGTTTGATGTTGCCAAAAAAACAAGAGCATAGCGAAAACACTTATATGTACTGGAAAAAAATGAATTTTAATTTCTCTGTAC